TGGCAAGAAAGGATCTCAAGGCAGGGAGGGAGCTGAACCTGTGGGTCTGGGGGAGGCCTGGCAAGGACAGTCTCCTGCTGAGGGCAGAAACTGGGCCCTGTTCCATGTGGCCCCTTGACGTGCCTGTACGTACGTGCCAGAGGAGCCACAAGGGCCCTAGGATTCCCGAGGCCAGTCTGCCTAGAGCCTTGCCTTTCACTCCCCCCTGCACCATACTAAACAGGGAAGCCATTGAAGACCATCTGCTGCTCCATAGCCATAGCTGAGGAGCGGGAAGTAGATGGGTAGCTGCCACTGCTCCTGCTTCTGCGTTTAGCTCTTAGGGGTTTTAAAGACTTGAGCTGCCTTAAAAAGCGTTCACCACAGGAAGGAACAAGAAGTAATCCACTTCACAGTAGCTGTGTTTAGTAATGAAAACAGGCCGTCTGCATTTGCAGGGGCCACTTAAGCAGCTCTTGATGCAATTTCTGAGTTCTGGGATGTGCGGAAGGAGGCAGGGCAGAGAGCCAAGAAGGCTTTCCTGCGGTCGGGGACTCATGGCAGGTGGAACTGCCTGCCATTGTCCTTCTGCTGCCTGGCAAAGTCTTTTATATTCAGGCAGGAAGGTCTAACCAATGGCTGGGGTGCTGGGGAAGGGTCTTAATGTGGGAATGACACTTTTGGTTTTTGTTTTTTTCTTGCTGTGCTTTCAGTAGTTTTTAGTTGTGTTTTAGTTCTATTTATTTCATACCCCACCTATCTCCTTGTAAGGGTCCTGAGGTGGCTTTGTAATTTGAGTTAAGAGAGGATCCTCAGACTGGAGAGACTGGACTGCCTGCCATCTCCCCCTCCTCTGGGCCTGATTACCTGCCAGGAGATTCCCAGCTCCAGCACAAAGTAAAAGCAACCCAATTGCTTCCTCCATCCCCGTCTAGACTTGACAATACAGAGGCTTCCTGGGCCCAGCATCATTTGTCCTATGAAAGCACTTGGGCCTCCTGCCAGACAGAGGTGAGGCCAGACCTTATGAGGGGGGACTTTGTAACTTCAGAGGAGGAAAGGAAACTCCCCTCCTGCCTTGCTTTGTTCGGTCCCCAGTCAGCTGATGACCGCCAAGCGGTTCCATCTGCACAGGCCCTTCTTCTGTGTCCCACCTCAGAGCAAAATGGAGAAGCTGCAGCTCTTAAGACCATCTCTGTCCTTCCTGCCTGCCTGCTTTCCAGCTGGGCCTGATCAAGAAACTGGTGGGCTTCGAAAGCCAGCAGGATGGATTTTCCTCCTCTCTGTCGGCTCGATAAAGGGATCACCAGCAAAGGTGCTTAGCGTTAACAGCATGTTCATCTTGCTGTGAGCCCCCTTGCATCCCAGCGGGAAGGTGGAATGTAAGCCAGATGGGCAAGAAGGAGAGGAGGAGTAGAAGGCTCATGGAGCTGGGGGGGAGGGAGTCCCGCTACCAGCCAGGAAGCGGTGCAGGTTCCCTGTGGAAGCAGCTTGCGGGAGGAGGAGTGCTCAGAGCTGCTCCCCATTGCAGGGGGTCCTTGCTACACCACCGCTCCCCATCCGATGGCAGCAGTTACCTTGAAATCCCCATTGTGAGAGGTGTAGAGGGGCTGGAAGAAGGTGGCAGGTGTGGGGATGTGGGTCCCTCCTCTGTCCTTCATCCTGTAGAGAGAAAGGGAGAAAAGAAGATGCCAGCTGTGGTTGGCAGCCCTGGGCACTCCTGCTTGGCCAAAGGGCTGGACTACCACAGAGCCCCCATTGCAAGCAGCTCACTCCCACCACAAAGCTGTGAAGCTCCCCTCAAGCCAGCCAACCCCACTTTCTCCCAACCTTTTTTTCGCTTCCTTGAACCTTTTGGAGGAAGGTGGGATGGAAGGGGCTGATAGCCAGCAAAGAAGCCCTTGGCCCCTTCCTCTCAGGCCACATGCACAGCCCCCCACCCGGATCAGGTGCTGCCAGGCAATAGAGGGCCTTCCAAGCAGGTCTGCACCATGGGCTCCCTCAGGGAGACAGAGGGTGTAAGGGAGGGAAGGTGTTGCAGTGCAGCCATGAGTGGTGAACTGTTGGCAGATGCCCTGGCGCACCCCGCCTCCCTCGGAGATGCCTGCTTGTACCTCCAGACAAAGGCCAGGAACAGGAACAGCAGGGCCCCCAGGCAGAGTGGGAGGGAGGCTTGCAGAGCCCTTGGCAGGCGAGGATCCAGCTGCTTCTGCCCAGCATCATCTCCTGAGGAAGGGAGGGAGGGAGGGAGGGTTAGCTTTCCAATCCTTCATTGGCAAAGGGACTG